GTGTGTGTGTGTGTGTGTGAGAGTGTATGAAAGAGTAGAAAGCAGGAAGTCATGGTGAAGCTTATCAATTCTAGCCCTGTGGTCGTACCATTTTTGACACACATTCCTGAAGTCATTTTTCTACAGTTAAACCTTAAAGAATATTTAGATGAGTAACATCAAAACTAACTTTAAATCAGTGGTCACCAACCTTTACAAGCCCAAGTTCACTTTTTAAGTCCAACCATACATTAATATCAATTTATATTTATACCATCTGTTCAGTGCACAATATTTAGCTTCTCAATTCATGTTCAACAATTTGTCTTGCAGTGGAGCTGCTACTGTAGCACAATGTGTTTACATATAGGCTCTGCCTTGAATATGGCCATAAATGGCAGCTCTATTTGCTTTATAAAAGTAGTCATGTGTAATAACAGTACTATACAGTATGAAGCCATGGATTTTCTGCTCCTGCAAATATTTCACAATAAAACCACCTTTTTAAACAAAAGAATGGATTTAGTCATCAGAGATGCTGGAGTGCTTTTATTTGGAAACGCATAGAGAAAGTGTTGCAACCATATGTTTGTTACATAAATTCGTCAGATAAACATTAATACTCAGGTGAAAGATCATTTTCTCTGTTAATTCTGCTGTGAACCACAATTTTTATCTATCACAATCTGACATATTTCCAACACTTCCCGACCGGTTTTGAGTAAAAACACTCCAGTGTTTCACTTTATGAATACATTAATTTGTTGTAACGGGGCTTTGATTGTTATAGACAGACCAGAAGATACGCGTCTTCATACCTTAGAGTCCTGAGATTTAGTTTAATACATAATCCAACTTGTTTTGAAGGAAATGTAGGAGATAAACCTGCTGCTCTGTCGAGAGTTTGGGGATCGACAGGGACGGTTTTAGAGATCGACTGGTAGATCGCGATGGATGGGTTGGCGACCACTGCTTTGAATATATATATAAAAAAGTTGAACGTGTTTTACCTTGTAATTTTCTGTTATGTGTCCTTTCATGACCAGCTTGACATCTTCCACACAGACTCCACTGTTGCCATGATCAAAGCCCATGATGTCATTGAAGACAAAGGAGTATAACCCCTGTCGATTTTTCTGGATTTTGAAAGTTTTGTACTGTAAAGAAGACGGACCAGTTATTTGCATCATTTTAGCATATTAAAAATACGAACAAAATCTCCATTTGTTTTGTTGTTTGATGTTTTAGCTGATTCATTTTAACTTGTAATGAATATACTTTTTAGATAAAGCAAATGCAAACAATCATCTGTCTTATTTGGATTAGTGAAAATAAAATTATCATTTGAAATAAATTTATGTGGTCAGGTACCACAATGCTAAAACTAATGAAATTCTTATGGAAATCCTTGTGGATTATTTTTGCTCAGGATCACTATATTCAACAGTTATGCATACTCTTTTAGAAAAGCTTCTCGCAGAGATTGAGTCTGTCAATGCTCGACTGGTAACTCGGTTTAGAAGACTACTTTCAACAGAGTTGATGAAACTGGACTTTGCAGCAGCAGCTGGTCCATGAAGCAGAATCCTGATGTGTTGGACATCTTTGTTTCGAGGTTGATATTCTTCCAAAAAATCCAGAACTTCCTTGTTGTTTCTATTAATAAAGAAAAAAAAACGTGTACCAACTTTGTTAGTGTTTGCACAACATTGTAAATAAAAAGCAAAAAGAACGACAAGCCATTCAAGTCATTTGGCAAGCAACAGACAATGTAGGGCACTGTGGCACCACACTTTGAAATTGTTATCTTGTACTTACTCTGGCAGTGCCCTCCATGGCTTACTTAAAAGTGCTAAAGAACAAAAAGCACATCAAAGCTGTAGTTTTACACAACTTCACAGCCATGCTGTGTTCTCTATGCATGTACAATTTGAATAAATGTTGCAGTGCAGTATTTGTAAGTGTGTCATGTCAAGACTTACCTCCTCCCATGGCTGTAAAGTGAGACATCAACATGTAAATGTTTATGACAGCAGTCTCATCAGGGGAATACACTGATGTATGATATTGTGTAACATTAATATAAATAAATTATTATTCTCTCACTTACTCTTCCCTTCCTCATTTGCTTCTGGTTCTCTTGATTGTGACTCTGCACACTGTTATACTTCACTTTCGCTTTGTTTTTGGTTTTGGTTTACAGCCAATCATGTGACTTATAAGGATCAGACTTTTCTAAACCAGAGTCATTTTAACAACAATGACTTTAAACCAATGTGGTTTCATATGACTCTATCATCCGCAAACAGGGATCTACCTTCTGTTGACTCTGATCTGTGAAACTGGGTGCTGCGGTTGATTTCCTGTCTTCAGCAGCAACAGCAGAGGTTTCCTGTTTACCAGACCTTGAGGTTTCACTCTGAGCGTTCCACTCAAAGACAACTCCGACAACTTTATTTCACATTTTGAGATGAATTTCCACCACACTATCTTCCTCTCTTTCATATTTCCTTGCATTTGAATGGACTTTCAGCTGCGCTTCTTATAACATGACAGAATAAAACAGAAAACTCCACTTTTCCACACTATGCTCAATTATAGCTTTTTGAAAGTTAAACCCCCTTTAAGAAATGTTCCTTCCCCATCTTCGAAACCCTACCAAAACAACTTACAATGGGGAAATGATCACTCCCCATTGTGTACCCATCCATAACATCCCATTCCCCACATCTAGCCAATTCAGCTGAGGCAAAACTTAAATGATACACTACCATTTACAACATGAAACCTCATCCACCTTCCATCATTCAGCATGACAAGTAAATGCAGATGTAAAAAATTCTCCTGTCTTTACTTTTGCTGCCCTCTAAAGGATCTGATCCATTATTGCATCTAAAACAATGGACTAATTTGTGGAATTCTGTGACTCTCTCTGTGGACTCATGAATGTCCCATAAACAGCAATATCCTGTCTAAGGAGCCAAATAATGATAGATAATTTGGGGTCAAACCACTGATCGTCTGGTTTGTGGAAGACCAACTTTACCTGCTGAGTCACAACCATTATTCGGCTCATCAGGAAAGTTAATTTCAGTATCTATGGCAACAAGGTTTAGTTTATAATTACCTCTACCAAGGAGGTTATCTTCTCACCCCAGGCCTGTGTTTGTGAGAAGAAGAAAATTATGGATTTTGATAGAAAAAAACAACATATTTTGGGAACTGTTTTCTCAGAGTGTGTACAATTTGGCACATTAAAAGTAAAAATTCAGATCTAGTGAATTTAAATGTAGTTTCATAAGGGGGCTGTTGGGCCCTGGCTCTTAGTATAGTTATGGTTTGCCATTCCCCCATTCATACACAGCATCTATTAGTAGTACTATGTAATCTATTTTTTCTGTTCTATGAGGGTCAATTCAGGGTTCAGCATCTTGCCTAAGGACACTTCGTCATGCAGATGGGAAGACTGGGGATTGAACTGCCCACCTTCTGGCTGGAGGATGACCACTTTCAAGACAAAGGTAAGAAGATTTAGACTTTCTGTGAATATCATTGGATTATTATCTTCGGTCCAGGATCTTATGTATTTCGTCAATCAGTTACTCAGAACATTTCGTATTATAGCTTTCGCATCATGATATACTTACCCCCTGTTTTAAAATTAAGGTTCTCCTTAAAACTATTGCTATCTAACTATGTCTATATCTTCCCTTTATGTTGGAATGTTTCTGGTATCTTTTAAAAAAAATTAAACTGCTGCTATGAGAAGCATTTTAAAATCTGCCCTTTTCTTTGAACTTTTACTAAAAACCATTGAAACTGGTCAGAGCCAGCACTACAGTTTTGCTTAGTCATTCACCAGGCTGGTTTCCATTGACTGCCAGATGACTGGATTAGGGAGGATACTACAGGCCGCATGTGATTGGCTAGGCAGTGGGAGGCGGGCCTGTCCAAAGTTAAACATCTGGAAGAGTTTACTGCTGTTGTTGAGTCACTCAGCTACTCGGTCAGATTGAGTAAAGAACCACTGCCAGCGAGAAGATGTCCTTTCTAAAAGTTGATGCAGCTTCTGATTTCTCCTTCCACAACCTGCCTTATGGGATATTCTCTACACCAGACAAGGTAAGGGCCACTTGCTTTTGCTCTGCTGACTTTGCACAAAGATAAACACACAGAGGACATCTGGTCAAGATTTTCAAAAATAAAATCTTTGGATAACTTTAGGCCAATGAGAAAGAAGGTGATCTCTATCAGGACCTTTATCTTCATAGTCACAATTGCAGTTTGTAGAAGTGTACTGGCATGTGTGGTGTGGCTTGTATGGCTGCTGTGAGTGTACTCTGGGTCCTCCTGGGCCATTCCACATGAAACACTAGCAGCTACACATCTCACATCCGATCAATTCAGATTCATGACTGCACAAAATGCAATTATATATGATTCATGTTAATGCATGGTTTTCTGGATGAAATACCAAAAATACGAAAGAGCATGTTTATAACCACCTCAAAAATGCAGGGTAGCAGAAATGTAGTCTATCATTCGTAGTTATGTGAAAGTGTTTCCTTTTTTTCGCAGCTCAAACATCGAATTGGTGTTGCCATTGGAGACCAGATACTGGACCTCAGTGTGATAAAGTATTTGTTTCAAGGACCTATCCTTTCCAAACATCAGGATGTCTTTGACCAGGTAAGGTTACTCATTAGGACTATTAAGGGAGCAGACACTGATAAACCCAACTTACCTTTTTAGCCAGGCATGAATCAGAAGTACTGCAATTCTTTCAGTATACAGTATTGCATTAACAGCACTATTAAAAGGTGCCTTCCGAAATAAGCCCACTGAGTCCCATGACCCTAAAACCCTTTGAACTTAAGTTATGACTCAGGTTCAGAGGCTCTTGGATGAGGGGTTACATAACCCTATACAAAAGAGCAGTTTCAAACAGACACTGGTGAAGCAAGTACTCAGTTCCTGTATTTTAGCACAAGTAGCTTTACTGCAATATTACAAAAATAAATGTACTATGGTAGAATGACACACTGTTCAATAAGTTATCTTACTCATAGCCAAGTTAAACAAGATTTTCAATCTTAATCTTAATCAAATAATTAATGATCATGCCTATTGCAATTCATTTACTGAATCAGCAGCTTTCATTGGAATGGGCTGTCATGTTTGGGCATCCAGTGTTTAATCTATTCCCTGTAAAAATGACCAGAATTAAAGCTGCTCTCTATTTTTTTTTTCCAAATAACAGTAACTTTTACACTGCCACAAAATGTCATTTGTGTATCAAGTTAGTTGCTATGTATTGGTATTACCAACATTCATTGTCATTCAATGAAAGTGTCAACTGATTGTAAAAAGGGCTGCTTGATATATATTTTTTGTCATCTTGTCTCCCTACAAGTGCACACTCAATGCGTTCATGGCTCTTGGATATGAGGCCTGGAGAGAGGCCAGGAGCACGTTGCAGACGTTGCTGTCGGCCTCTTGTAGCACACTGAGAGATGACATCAGCCTTCGGAGCAGGTCGGTCTGTGAAGTGTTTGCAGATGCAGAAGTCTACATAGTGCACATACCTTTACATCCCTGTCTGTGAGATCACAGCAGGTCGTCTTCATCAGCAGCTAAGGACAAAGTGGGGTGTGGTCAGATGTAGGCTTCCATGTGAGCTTGAACATATCAAGCAATAAAAAATTGTAAATGTGTGTATTTATATAGCACTTTTCTAGGCTTGATGACCACCAACCTAATTTCCCTTTTGGGATGAATAAAGTAATCTATCCATCCATCTATCCATCTATCTATCTATCTATCTATCTATCTATCTATCTATCTATCTATCTATCTATCTATCTATCTATCTATCTATNATCTATCTATCTATCTATCTATCTATCTATCTATCTATCTATCTATCTATCTATCTATCTATCTATCACTCAGTCCTTAATAGTACACTTTTTCCATCCCCATTAACTCATATCAATGCAATACAGCACTTTCTCTATCTCACACTCAAACATGACCACAGACCCCCTGGTTAGTGAGCCACCCACAACAACAATTCAGCCACACGTTCCTGTTTGCCTACTCCCTCCAGCACAAAGTTAAGGAGTCTGAATAGTTTCCTCTGGCTACTGTAAAATGTTTCCATTACCATTACTATATTACAATATGTCTCCTCAGATACTCTTCCATTACTGACAATAATTCCTCAATTCATTTACCTTCCATCATACTACAAACTGTTTACTCTAACCAATGCTGTAAATACTCTTATTTTTCTGACGTTCTCCATTACACGTGGCATCTATTGCACTTCAGTCCGTCCTGGGAGCGATATCTCTCACATGTGGCTCTCTGAGGTTTCTTCATTCTTTTTCTCCTGTTAATTGTTTTTGGTGTTGTAGTTTTTCCTTACTCTTGTTGAGGGTTAAGGGTTAAGGATCTCACACCTCGTTAAAGCCCGATGAGACAAATTGTGATTTGTGAATATGGGCTATACAAATAAAATTTGATTGATTAGATTGATTTACCAATCCAACACTAAGGGACACATTCGATAAATACAGCTGTCAATATATTTTTTAGTCTAGTCCATGGAAGATAAAAGAAATTGATTTAAAGATGCGTATCATGGAGCCACGGTTGTGCAGAGGATCATTTCTTCCATGTCTGACATAATTAATGTAGCAAGCAAAGGAATTAGAGTTAACATATCACTAATTATTCCGATATAGCTTTTCCTCGATAACATAAAAAAAAAAACCTCCTGCACAGAGGAGGACGACTCTGCATCGACACAGTGACGGAACATGATCATGTTTTCTGCTGCGTTCATTGTTTCAGCAGTTTCCACCTCTGAATAATTATACCCACTGCTGCTCCAGGATCAGGACAGACGCTTATTAAAGGTCCGGTCTGTGTCACACTCTCTGTCGGAGTCTGTTTCCTCCTCTGACCTGCGCTCACTTTACACTTGAACAATAAACTCCATCACTGATCACAACTTATTAGGACAAGTAGAGGACTGACATTTACTTTGTGTTTGTTTGATTTGCTCTAGAGTTGAGGAGACACATGTGTGAGTGTGAGGATTAGAAAACATCAGAGGAGCAGAGTCACTTGTTGACCTGTGGAGTAATACACCTCAGTGCAGTGGAGCAGAATTAAGATAAAAATAAAACTTTATTAATCCACACACTGGGAAAATACTATCCGAGTCACACAGTGTAAATATTTAAGGCATAAATCTTAGGTAGTTTTCATCATCTCATCAGATGTTTTTGTGTGTTTGTCCTTGTCTCTGCAGAGCATTTGTCCATCAGAGCACTGCCACCATGCACCTTCCTGCAGACATCGGTGAGCCACATCATGGTTTAAATCCTGTCATCAGAGCTTGTATGCTTTATCAAAGGCAAATTTGATCAAACAGAGCACATCGGCCCCCTGGTGTCATCTCTAAAGTTGATTTCCCCTCATACTTTTTGAATTATGCATTTGTTTGAGTCACTGTCAACAGTCTTTAATGTCCCGATGTGTCTCACCTTTGGAGAGATAATATTTGATGTGGCTGTGAACTCCAGGTCAGTCTGTGTTAATGTCACCAGCTGCCAAGTGTGTCACTTCCAAAAGGGCTGGGGACACTTCCCCAAATCCTCTCCTAAATCCCAGTGTTGTTCCCCTAATTTTGATTATTTTATATTATAATTAAACTGTAAACTCTTTATAAGAATAACTCAAAGTAAACATATGCTCACAGAGTGAAAAGTGAAAAGTCCCTGAAAGGAATTGCAGCTGTTGGGAACTGGGTTTTACAGCCCTGGCTATGGCCTGCTCTAATAATCAGATATTATTTTTTTTATTTTATTTTATTATTATTGGTGAAGCTTGTTGGGGACACAGGGCTGGAATATAAATTCCTCTGTGCTGAAAATCATTTTCTTAATCACTTAGTTTTTTTGCACAGAATCATACAAAACCTACCATGTCTTATTTTATTCTTTTCTACATCATATAGGAAGACACAATGAGTCACATAACAGTCACATAGTTATGTGGATTTGAGGCACAAGGGGGCGCTGTTTAACCACATACCACAATTCTGTTAACTTTGACTCCATCATTCAGGTTTGTGCTGATAATGTCCAGACGGTACATGTGTATGTTTCAGTTTGTCTCCCTCTGTGTTTTTTTCTCAGGTGACTACACTGACTTCTACTCCTCCAGAGATCATGCTACCAACGTCGGCATTATGTTCCGGGGAAAGGAGAACGCTCTGATGCCAAACTGGTACACTCTCACTCAATCAAGCTGTTAGACATGGAGGTAAACGGAAAGCTCACCAGGAGGCCTCCATGCATTCCCCAGTGCTGGGATAGATAGATAGAAAACTGCCTAAAACAAATTGTTCAAGGCTCTCTGAAAACAGTAACAATTGATTCGGGCCTCAAAAGCGTCAGTGTGCATTTAAACGCTGCAGTAGTGTCCTGGGAGCGTCCCGCATGGCAGGAATGCTAAGGTGGCTGAGGCATCTCTGTCTCTCTGTGAGCACTTTGGATTAGCAACTGATTGGCAGGTTGTTTATCCTGCATGTCAGACTTATGTCAGATATCAAGGGGGCAAGATAGTTTTTAGCAATGGACCACATGTATTTGAATCCTTCCATTAAAAAGGGAGACCATTAGGGAAATGATAAGATGCAATTGATACAACTATGTGTTTGATGTGGTTCATGTTGTAATCTCGCTCTAATAAATAATCAATGTATTTACATCAACCATGCTCCATCAATCGACAATGTGTGTTAGCCTTAAAAGTAATGAACCCCTCGTGAACCTTCAGCTGCAGTCTGCACCTCCCCTCTGCTTTACAAAGCTTTTTAGTGAGCTTCAGCTCACAGTGTGATTTTAGGGCCCAGCAGGCAGCTGCTCATCACTGCAGCCACTGAGAGCCTCCCCAGAGGCTTTTCTGTACTTCTCTTCCCAGAGATCACCACGGCAGAGCAGAGACATCTCACAAACATCATCTGTTTATTTTAACATAATTATTGCTGCAATAAAATATCATCCCTGCTCTGTGAATTCCCATTCCTATTCAATATGAACAGTTTATTGAATAGGAATGGAATACAGTTTTCTGTGGACTGACATTTTGGTCACTGCTGTCGTAACTTGGCCGTTGTGTTTTGCAGGCTGAGGCTTCCAGTGGGGTACCATGGCAGAGCGTCATCCGTGGTTGTTTCTGGGACCCAGATTCGCCGCCCCTCAGGCCAGATGAGACCTGACCAGAGTAAGATGCTTATGTTTATATTTATCTAGTATAAAGATACAGATATTGATTAGTGCAGCTTTAAAGCAGCTATAATCACTATTTCATCAACATTTTTCTGTCAAGATCTATGTTACAAGACCAACATTTTGGTTTTGTGGGTGCTGTATAACAGTTTGTGTATGATCATGTTACCACAAAAGAGAACTGGAGTCAGGTAGTTCTCCAGCAGGTTCATCTGGCCATGCATGGGTGTGATACTCTCTGTCATTGTTGTGGTCACTGCTTGTTCGGCATTGAACTGCCCAAAAATCGAATTAGTCCAGATTCAGTCCCTAAAGTGAGCAGTGTACCATCTTTATTGGCAAATTGAATGAATATGTAACAGTTGAGAAGATTTTGGTTGATATAAGTACAGACTAAGTGATAACATTGTTTTTCTTTTTTCCTGTCTGCTAGCGAAACCTCCAGTTTTTGGGCCTTCTAAGCAGTTGGACATTGAGCTGGAGATGGTGATTACAGTGTTTATTTTATATCATCACCTGTATTTATTTTCTAAAATGTGATTAAATATTGAAATAACATGCTTGAAAAAAGGCCTAAATTGCCTTCCTGATACACAACCATGCACAATAGCTAAGTAGTTTTTCCCTGTTATGTTTAAATTTGCTTCTGTTCTTGGATAAGGCCTTCTTTGTTGGAGGAGGGAATCAGCTTGGAGAGCCCATTCCCATCCAGAAAGCCCATGAACACATCTTTGGCATGGTATTGATGAATGACTGGAGTGGTAAGAGCCTCTGCACAACACATAGCATCATGATATAACCTGCCATGGGCCCTCAGATGAATATTTTCTAAACATGGAGAGTGATTTGGAAGAATATCTGCAGGAACTGTTGGTCTTCTGAATTAGAAAGAGCTCAGTTTTTATTTTCTTTCTGAGGCCTATTGCGGAGACCACATTAGTCCTGTGTGTATAAGTGCAGCAATTATTACTGCCTTATGGCCTGTGAAAGAGTGAAGCGTGAGAGGGAATACAACAGTGTCGTATTGAGTCTGCACTCACAGCTGCTATGAGTAGCACAGTGTACGCAATACTGTTTAGTGTTGTTAAGTATGTTTAAGTACAGTTCAAGTACACTACAGTACAAGAGTAAGTCACTGCATCACTGTTTGTGTGTGACCCTGACTGATCCAGACTGCTTTGGCTCTGTGGTGCGTTCACTCCTGTCCTGACTCTTATTATATCTTATCCAATTCAAGCACAAAACTAAACTGCCTCTGTTACCTTTATTTTTGTTTTGTGGATTTTATCCCTGATGGTTATAATTTTATTTGTAAAGAAGCTCATGAAATCATTGCTTCTTAGGGTTAGAGGAATAGATGGGTCAGTAGAGGTGTGACTTTCTCTCAGCCTGGCTACAGAGCTGAAGAGGAACCTGGGGTTGTTCTTATTTTCTTCTATTAATAATGAATAATAAGAGGTTTTGGCATTTCTAAGTGCTTTCCTGTAATTCATCAGGCTATCCTTCCAGGCTAGGTGAAAGTCATATTGATTGGTGGAACGCCACTTCCTCTCTAGTTTCTGTGATGTCTGTTTTAAAACACGTGTTTGAGAATTATACCATGGAGCTAATCTCCTCTCATTTACCTTCTTTTTTAGAGGGGCGACAGCATCAAGGGTTGTTTTTAATGAGGCTGCTGTAATATTAACAAAGTTATCAACTAATGTGGGAGTAAAGTTTTCATAACCTTCCTGTATTGTACTGACACATGGCTGAGAGGTAAGTCTAGAAGGAAGCAGTTCTTTAAATGTATTCACAGTTTTATCAGATAAACACTGACTATAATAGAATTTCTGTCCAGAATCAGTGTAGTCAATAATTCTTAATTCAAATGTCATTAAAAAATGGTCAGACAGAAGAAGTTTCTGTTGAAATATTATTACATTTTCAATGTCTATGCCATATGTCAGACC